TGTCATTTGGCTGTGCAACCTCTACAGTATCACAGTCATGCTCCAGAATTAGACGCAACACCTGCCACCACGGTGAAAAGCTCTTTGTTGACAAAGTGTTTTCATGTGTCTCTCATGAAAAGCTTAGAAAGCAGCTTCTTAGGCGTCTTGAGATATTTATAGCAACCCACCCCTCAACCCTTCATTGCCATACTTCCGTTCCCGGTTCTATGAACACGTGCATATTCCTCGGACAGGCTTCTCAGTTGGTTCACCTTAGCAGAGCTCTGCGTCTGGCACCCTGAGACTAAGCTATGCACTCAGTGCCCCATCAGGTGATAACACTGTTCTCTGCCGGTACAGAAAGATGAAAGATGATGTAAATTTTGTCATTATAGCCAGGTGATTTCTTTCATTTATACACACGACAGTTATAATGTCGGAGAAAGCTGTGCAAGTGGATGTGAATAATTTGCTTTGTTTGCTCTCCCTGACAGGTTTAAAAGGCAAACTTAAAGCTTCAGCATCTTTCAGCACATTGTTATGATTTTAAAACCTACAGATGTTATTTTGATTCACTTTTAGCACTCTTACTTTCCCACTAGACATAGGACACAAGTAAAAGCACAAATCAGCAAATAATACTTATTTAGCATCAAAAGTAAAAGTACTCACTGTGCACCCTTTCAGAATCTTCATTAGTGCTGATAATATGATAGGACAATGAGTACTTTTACTCTTGATATAAAATTTTGCCAAAATGTAAGATTTTGGATGCAGGGCTTTTACTTACATTTTTAGTTTTTTTTCAGTGTGGTGTTGAGACTAACTTTAAAATAAATATCTGAATGTTTCAACCATCACTGTTCTCAAGAAATATGTATTCAGGCCCTTTACTAAAGTAAAAGTAGCAACACCGCACTTTGAAAATGCTGTAATAAAAATCTTGCATTCAAAAGTATGCAAGTATTATCAGCAACATTTACTTCAAGTATCAAGAGTAAAAGTACTCTCATCCGGCAGTAAAATGGTCTCTGTCAGTGTTTTACTTATATATACAGTATATATACAGTATATATATATATATATATATATATATATATATATATATAATATACTAATTATAAACTACTGCATTATTACTATATGTTTAAGGTTGTGCTCTTGTGAACTACTTTATACAGTTTACTGTTGGGTAGTTTAATCTACAACAATGCATCTTATTCTATAAGATCATCATATGTTTGTAGCGTCGCTGTCATGTGAGAACCAAGTATCTCTGAGTTTAGAGAAACAGCCCTGTTTTCAGCTTTGTGAAGATGCATTTTTCGAGCTGATCCAAGGCTGCGTTTAAATTGTTTATTTACTTCACACAGTTTATCAGTAATCTAATTCTAATCTAATTTTAATATCACTAAATTTGGAGATTTGTGATTTTCACAGGATATAAAGATTTTGAAAAATCTGACTCTGTAAAATCTGTCAGACAAATGTAGTAGAGTATAAGTATAAACTACAGCAAATACTCAAATAAAACACAAGTACCTCAAATGTGTACTTAAGGATAGTGCTTGAGTAGGCTACTTACATTCCACCACTGTCTGTGAGGGCACTAGGGCCGCACGGACACCGAGCCTGCCGGTGCAGTCTGACCAAGAAGGCTGTGAAGTTCAGAGGCCGACACCAAACTTACCATCCACCAGTCGGTACCTGTGGGACACCTCGTCTCTCGGCAGCTGCGGTTATCAGATAGTACAGTATTCCACGTGTATGCTCATTGTAAACACAACAAGCTTTTCCATCATTTTGATTTCATATTGAAGGACAAACCATTGTGGCTTTAAGACATGAGTGGACTGTCAAAAGAGGAATTGCTTCCCAATGGACCACAAAAGGTAGGAGCTTACTGCAGTAAATATAGTGCTGCTTCGTGCTTCCAGTGAAAAACTGCAATAAGCTACTAATTGAACTTTAATACAAATACTGTTGATAAATTACTGATTTTCGGGTTGATTAGGTTAACACATATACACCCACACCACTGCCGTAGTGTCTCTAGCTCGCTACTAATTAAGGAGCCAAATTAATAAATAAATAAAATTGACGACCGTTACTAAGTAGAGAAATGTGTGTTGTGATTGCATGAAAAAACATTATATTTTACAGCCTAACTCTAAACAAAGTTGGTAGAAAGGTAAATATATGATATAGTATATTGTGTGATAAGTTCTTGATATCTTACTGAAAGTTGTATTTGTGGTTTGCCTTGCCACCAGCTAAAGTCTGAATGTGATGTATATAGAAAGATGTGGAGACAATTGCACAGCTGCATTGATGAACTGACATGTATGAGGATTTTTTTGTGTGTATTAGCCTGTAGGCTACAGATTATGCTCTGATCTACAATTTGAGCACCAGTTGAACACCAGTGACGCCTGCCACCAGGGGGCTGTCTGCAGTCTCAACACTTAATAGTGCTGAGCACGATCTATTGCACACAGTGCTCTCAAATACAAATAAAACCACAAACAGTAGTTAAATAGCAGTGGTGAAATAAATATTTATATCATTTATCTTAAGTAAAGCAATACCGTACTTTTAAAATACTCTGTTACAAGTAAGATTCCTTGACAATTATCAAAAGTAAAAGTACGCACTGCAAAAACTGTCAGTGTTAACTATTATATACCATATTAAAGGTGCATTATTACTGATGAAGGCAGTATGTGTGCTCAGCCTGTTAATGTTGTGGCAGGTTGAGGTGGTGCTAATTATATAGCCTACTGTTGTGCAGTAATCTGCTACAATGGCTCATATTTTATAAGCCGACATATGTTCTGGGTGTAAAATCATTTGCTAAGTAACTATAGCTGTCAGACAAAATGATGTGGAGTAAATAAAGAATAATATTCCCCTCTGAAATGTAGTGGAGAACAAGTTTAAAGTAGCAGAATGGTGGAGTCAAGTAATAAAGTACTTTAGAAATGTATTTAAGTACAGTACTTGAGTAAATACGCTACTACGTTACTTTCCTCTTCTGCTTACCAACAATTATTTCGTTTTAACAGTGCAGCTCCTAGTGTGGCTTTTCCTCCTTCACTTTGTACATTGGAGTCATAAAAAGTGTTGGGAGAACTTTTCCAGCTCTTACTTCTGAAGTATCTGTCCCAACGGATCCCAAGAAAGGCAATAAATCAACTCAGACCGTTTATTATGTGGTGCATGTGGCTAAACTGGGTTGAAGTGATTCTGGTGTCACTCACTTTTCTAAAATCCCAACCTGGACACTAGCCAGGCCTGCTCATACCTACAGCAAGTCCTTCTCTTAAAGTGTTTCAGGGTAGAAAATAAAATATTTGAATACTTGCTTTAATGTCCTGAACTGTGCCTATACTGAGAAGCAGATTTCCTTAGGTGATCCAGTGTCCCCTGTGATGTAGAGGAGTTATTTAACAGCTCTAAAGTTAGATACTAGAGTAGAATTACAACATAATTAAACAGATTTTGTGGGGGCAGCAGAAACAAACTGTAAACACAATGCTGCTATGTGGCAAATATTTTCTTTTTTTTACACATTCAGCACATACATAGGAACATTAGTGTTCATTTGGAGTCGTGTTTGTGTCCACCTGATGAATGTAAGTGCAATATTCAGTCTCTTATAGCTCTGTTTCTTGTCTCTACCAACTCCTGAGAGAAATATCATGGTCTTTAGCAGCTAAATGTTCACCAGCTAATGACTAACTGCGTCTGCTGTTTGTTGCTTAGCAGGTAGCATACAATGGGTTCAGAGTTTTTAGCTGAAAACAGCTGCCTGCTGTGTCTGAAAACAACACTGATGAGAGCACTGAGACTAAAACAATACTGGCTGTAAAACCAAAACAGTGAGCTGAAAGATGCTAAAACACTCTGTGGAGCCGAGGAGAACTGCAGAGTCAAGTGAGCTTGTCACCACAAGCAAACCCCTACACATTCATGATGTCGTGTGATCGATTGCTGATACAAAAAACATTGATTATAGCTGCTTAAAAGGGTGAAGGCTGGAGCAATGATAGAGCCAAATGGTGGCCATGGCAACCCCAAAAAAGGACTATTTGGCCCTCAGCTTCTTGCAGTGGAGAAAAGAGACAGAACAAGACACCCCAAACTAAACACTGGTCTCAGCCTCACCTCTGTTCTGGAGGTGGATATACACAAGCCAAAGGATTTTTTCAAAACCTGGAAACCTAAACATTGTTACTCTGCCATTTTCAAAGAAGGAATATTTAGGCGACTGTGTTCCAAACCGTGTTTTTGTGTAGCCTACTTTTACATATTAGTTTATCCTGGCATTGACAATGAGAGAAACAGGTTATTTCATGATACAAGAGGATACATCCAAGTAGTAATCCAATTATCTAATAATCTGTCATGTATTTGTTTGATTTTAAATCTATGAAATGTCAAAAACAGTGAAGAAATGCCCACAACAATTTCCCAGTCCAAAGCAACATTTTCAAATTGCTTGTTATGTCGATGAACAAATGTCTAAAACCAGAAGATATTTCATTTACAATGATATATAACAAAAAAGGACAGAAAGTCCTTACATTTCAAGAACATGGAACCCACTTGCTTTTAACCATTTATTAATCAACTTAGTGTTTCATTTCCAAATCCAAGCACTGTTATAGTTAACAAACTACTTATCAGGCTTCCTTACTTTTCTCAGTTTTTGCAGTGTAGCCTATTGTTGTCACTGTCATTTCTTCTGTTTTTAAAATATATAATTAGGTCCATATACCTATTTGAGGGGTCAGAAAGCCAGCAAGGCCAGGCTTTAAATGACCAGGAGATTAGAGGGTCATGAAAGATAGAAGTGATACAATGGTAGTGTGATGTAGTGATGTAAAGAGAGAGAGAGAGAGAGACATGGGGGGTGGGGGGGTGGGGGGGTGGACCGTGGCCAATCATCGGCAAGCAGAATAACTAAACAAGAGACACAGAAGAGATTTCATAAAGCCAGTTACTCTCCACAGGCCTAAAATGCGAGCATGTCACATGAGCGAAGACAAAGGCGGATATGAAGGAAGAGGGTGATAAAGAGCAGCCAGGTGGTTTAGCCCATTTATTAATTTTATTCATTAGTCCGGGTCCGGATCATTTCATAGATGCGTTAGCGGGTGGTACATGCCATGAGCAAGGTTTAGATTACAGCCTGAAACACCTTTTGTTATAAATATGATATCGAAAACTAAGATCCTATAATAGCGGATGCTGAGGAGGAACCGGATTCACTGGACGCATGAATTAAACAATCACCAACACCTCACGTTTACACCCTTAATGTGCTCAAACGGAGGTGTGTGGAGGAGAGAGCTATTTGAGCCCGCAGCCGATGCCCGGAGAATACAGCAGCCTGTGTGCAGGCAGCTGTGGACGACAGAAAGGTGGTACCCAAGTGTCGGTGTTTATTATCTGGGATCGGACTCCGGAGGCGCGTCGCTGAGGTATGGGCTGCGCTCCCAGTATCCACGTCTCTCAGAGCGGGGTGATCTACTGCCGAGACTCAGACGAATCCAACTCCCCCCACCAGACCACCACCATCTCTCAGGGCACCGCGGCCACGCTACATGGGCTCTTCATCAAAACCGATGCGGCCGAGACCATCCCCTCTGTCATCACCTACCAGAACCGGCACTCGCGCAACAACTCGTACCGGGATCGCAAGGAGAACAGCGGTGGACACATCCGCATCGAGGCCGAGACGCAGACCAGCCACACCAGCGTCAAGGTACAGTACAGCGGGGTGCGTTTAAATGAACCAAACACCGTGAGTGAAAATCACACGTGAGGAGGCCTTTAGGTTTGTTTGTTAGTTACAGGAGGAGGCCTAAGCCTTCTGATCGGGTGCTATAATTACAATTATGTAATGACTGTAGTTCATTCAGTCTGCTGTCATTCACTGCCTTTATCTTCCCTTCCTGCAGTCAGCCATTAGTGTGTAATAGTGATACATAGGCTAATATGAACAGTGGTTGTTTTGACTGTAAATAAGATATGTCCAGTTGTACTGTGGAATGCAAATTCAAAACAATACAGTCACAATATAAAGTTCTAACAAAATTAAAATAAATAAACCTGTATTGACAAAATTGTGCTAAATGTCCACAATGCAATGCTTACAGAAAATGTGCAACAAGCTGCCTCTTGCATCACATGTTAATTATAACCATTATGAACATTTAAAACTATATAACCCCTGCTCTTGCGTTGGCTAGCAAACTCTTATAAAGTTTTAAAATATGTTATAAATAAAAGTCCACTTTACTGTCAAACAGCAGGTTCAAACTAAGGTCCCTCTCTGACCAGGCCAATCATGGTTTAGGATAATTGCCCAATCAGATTTCAGAGGTGGCCTGCATCATATGCCGCTCCCTGGACAGGCCTCTGTGAAGATGTGTTTTGAGCATTTGTCAACAATTAAAACGTCTCCAATACATATATTATTAAAAGTTTATTTTATTACATTGTCATCATCTGTTTAAACACCAGCCTCTACTTATGGCGACGCTACAAACATATGATGGAGTCGTAGTTGTGAACAAATATGCGTACACCTTCATTATAGTATATAATAAACCACAGTGGGATTACAGTAAAGTGTTACAATCAAATAAATAACGAACACTCCTGCTGGAGTTTTGATCTCCTCCTTTTCCATGCATCTTGGAAGTAATGTAGGTGAAATTATCCCACAAATCCCTGCTTTGCATTTTTTTCTTTCAGATCTCTCTGTGTGTTATAACAGAAGCTTTTTGAAAAATGTGCATCCAATTGGTTTGTTCTTAAGCAACAAAGCACGGAGAGTGTGCCTCAAAGTGTAACAAGCCAAAGGATCATCTGTTGTTTGATGACTTGTGTTGATCTTGTAAATTTTGTTAACCTCACTGGACATTGTTCTCATAAAGAACAATGCTTTTATATTGCTTCTCAAGGCTTGCCTCAAAGACAAAAGTTAACAAACTGGGAAGCTTTGTACGATTTAGAATGGGAGGTGCTGTACATTAAAAGCTATTAACCTAATAAACTAAAACATTAAGCTGTATAGTGAAAAATAAGTTACGTTCATCAAGGGAGATGCTGCATTCAAATTGCCTTAAAAGTAAACTAAATTAAATTAGCTTTTTCCAAAACATTCAACCGCATCTCAAGGTCTTCCTCTGTGGAAGAAGTTTGTGATGACAAATTAGCTATCTGCATGACAAAAGAAACTTCAGAAAAGTGGACCTTGAGTCCCCCGCGACCCGACCACGGACAAGCGGATGAAGATGGATGGATGGATGGATGGATGGTGGACCTTGAGTCAAGCTATTTATTGGTAAAGAAAAGATCTAGAATTCACTTTCACATACAGAAGATTTCAGTTTTTATTCAATAACTCATTACAATAACATGGGAAATGCTCTTAACTTAATAAACCAAATTAGTAAATACTAAAAAATGAGTGTTAAAACTGAGAATGGCACAGACTGACTTAGAATAAGGATCATAAACTTGTGGAGTTGTGTACATGTCTTGTCATGAGGAAGCATGTGAACAGATACTTCTTCATATTTACGATCGAATCCCAGAGGATATAGCTGTGTTTTTTGTTAACAAGTAGTGCAGCAGATGATCATGTCATCAGAACCTAATAATAGATTCACCCATTCAGGCCTGGATGAGATTTTTAATTTTTTAATTTTACAAAATAGAAAAGACATATTCGATGATTATAACCTTCTTTTTTTTGGTATGATTTGATTTTGGTAAACTATACATCTGAAGAGAAATAGCACATACATTTATCAACTGGTGTAAACAGAACTAATAGAGATTAATGTAAAGAAAACCAAAGACATGACAGTTGTTGTTCTGTTGATACGAGGCTAAAATCATCTAACATAAACACAGCTTTCCTTTTGCTTCATCTGCATGTTTGGAAACACACACAGCCAAGACCAACTCAAATTGGAAAGGGCAGTCAAACATGCCAGCAAAATCATCAGCCAACAGTCAGTGGGAGACCTATACCAAAGACAAATAAATAGCAAGACAAGACAGTTCATGTCTGATGACAGCCACCCCCTGCATGAGGTGCTGTGCAGCTAGCCAGACAGGAAGCAGGAGCCTTTTGCAGCATAAAATATTCACTAGGCGGTATAGCAACTCCTTACCTAAATAATTTTTACTTTTAATATTATTTGTGATTTGTTTCCTTTTTTGTTACTATATATCTTTCACATTGTCTTTTTAATGTTTTTATTTTTTATGTGTGTATGTGTGAAACAGCAGGCCAACTGAATTTCCATCTTTGAGGGATATCAAAGATGAGCTTGCCTCGACTTGACAAGACTTAACCTCTGCACCACTGGTTTAAAAAACTGTCATTATCTGGTCCTAATATGGTAGAAAACTTGATCACTGGATCACTGAAAATGTCATCATATCATTATATCATATCACAATCACTGGTTTGAATGAAAATATTTGGTCACCCGAGCAAGATACTTTTTATCAGGAGCTGAAATCATAGAACACGTTGCAACAGCTTTATATTATTTAGCTCCAGCAATTTAATACCTTTTAAAGATTTGTGTCATTAGTTTACGGTACAGATTATAAGTGTCTGTGTGTGTTTTGGTTTGTTAGCTGTTTCTTATCCAAGTCCCCTCTATCTCTGGAGGGCTGAGAGAGGATCAATGATACCATTTATTATTAAAACCATCTGCCTTTCCCTGCAGGATCTTGATAATCTGCCATGGCGTTGATCATGCTCCCATGTGTGTTTGTTTGTGTGTGTGTGTGTGTGTGTGTGTGTGTGTGCACGCCTTCGTGCATGTGTGTGTGTGTGCATGTTTATATACGCAAGTCATTTGTTTACCCCTCTGGTCAGTAGGGCTGGGTGTGAACAGTCACATGTGAAGGAGCTGATTCTGGTGGCCTGTACAGATATCCCCCCAGGATATACACTGAATATACAGAAAACAGCATGAATGAGCACTTTATCAGCATCGTCGCGACCACCTCTCGACATACAAAAGTTCAGTGATCATCAACAATACAGGTTCTGTGTTTTGAAAAATAAAGGAACACCATGCCAAACTAATCCTGGTTGACACAGTTCTTCTAACCTGCTAATAGATTTGCAGAAAGTCTCTTTTTTGGCTTTTGTTTATTTGATTATTTTTGCAAACAAACTGACATTATTGAGAAAAGAAACAGAACAATAACACAAACAGTATGCATGGGTGACAAAATACAAGGCCTCCCCAAGAGAAGAACATATTAACTTGCAGATCAGAAACGAATAGCAGTACAAAAGACCAATGTCATGATGACAAGAAACACTAGTTATTTAAAATCGGTTGGAGATGCAGTCTAGATGAGCATGCTTACAGATCTTAACAGGTAGTCAAAGGAGAAATACATTGACACTTACAGGTGTTCTGCTGTTTGATTCATTAGCATAGCTCTCCAGGTTTTCAATTGGTTTACAGATTACAATTACTGTATACCTCTGTACCAACGCTGAGTATGCAATGTATTCAGTCAGGTGTGGGTGGGGCCGAACCTTAGCCTTATAAGGCACACCTGAACTGCTTAAGCCTAGTTCACACTACACGATTTTAAGCCCGATTTTCCGGTCGGCAAGGTTGGCAACCGTCAGGCTGTGATCAGGGGTAAATCAGCAATCAATCGGCGGCCGCCAGTCGTTATATTAACTACTCAACAACGCATCAAAACAGCTCCCTGACACACCGCTGACACATAGCAGACGCTAGCCAGATATCTAGCACGCCACATATCTGGAGGAATCGGCCGATTCGACATCCACATCCAGCCAATGAGAGCAGGCAGCTACTTTAGCTACTTTTTCTCAAAACACTTTTTACTCACCTCCAGCTCTCTCTGTAGCTCAAACAATCCCTGCTACCTGCGTGTGCTTATCCATTCTTTCACCCATATTCTTTGTCTTTATTAATTGCCATCTTTATAATAACAAACAACAGCTGTTTCGTGTGTAGTGTCACCTCATTTCCCGTTTCACATTTCACATGTGTTTTCTTGACAAACTGTGGTTTGGAGACTAGACGTCGGGTGACAGAGCCGCTGTGTGTAGTGTGTGACCCCTTGTTACCGATCAGTCACGTAGTGTGAACACCACAACGACTTCAAGACTCCCGTCACAAGTCGGCAAGTTGTGTAGTGTGAACGGCATGGACATCGGCCAACGCTGAAAGTTGTGTAGTCTGCACAAGCTTTAAGAGGCCTAGCTCAGGCCCTGCTCAGCCCTTTGTTTGCTGGAGCATGCTCCAGAATCAGTTTAATACAGTAGTAGTCAGTCTCTTCACATTGACTGTAAATGGATGCATTCTGTGTGTAAGTTATCATAAATTGACATTACTATTGATTTTGCTTTTCTAATTGCCATTTAGTGTTTAGTGGGTTATTTCAGATTAATTTGAGTGATTATCATGCTTTAACTGGTGTGTCAGTACAGAGGCTGTTTAACTAGAACCAGCTATTAAAAACTACTTTGTTAAAGTCGACATCTCCGTGCTGCAGTACAGTAAAAGTATTTCCTGTTGTTTTAACATTTAGCAGTATGAATGGATATTGTTGGAAAACAACCTCATAGTACTGATGTGAACGCAGATTGATTTAAACTGCATTTTCAGATTCAGCTGGCTGCGTGGACAAAGTTGTGAGACGGAGTGTAAGAGGGGGTGTGTGAGAGCAGGAATGTCA